TTTTTAAGTTGAACTTTCAATGTCAAATTATAGTTCATTCGATGCGTCTTGACAAGAGGAACACGATGTCGGTAAAAGAAAGCTCGTGCAAGGCTTGAGTCAAAAGTTATTGCAGAAAAACTGTTCCCGAAAAATCGTCTATTTTGGCAGTTTTTGCCCCCTGCAGGCAAACCCGTTGACGTTAGGTCAAATCTGAGAGAATTACTCAGAAAGGGCGTTAATAGGGCTATCGAATGCGCTTTTCCGTGGCGCTGTAGCTCTATTGGTTCCCGAGCTTTGCGTTGGCTTCTTGGAAATTGTCGACATTCGACCTGGAAATCGGCGAAATTTTGCCTTCAATGACCTCTGGTGACCTGACCTTTGACCTGACCAAAAAAGTGACCGAAGTGATTTCGTCATTATTTTTGGCGCTCTTTCGAACGCCGCCTTCCGCGTATCGCTACGTGGCCCAGGAGCCGAGTTAGAAGGGGGGGGGGGTTCAAACACACACCCCCTCAGCAGGGCGTGGAAATCCAGGACCCCCAGCCGGGCGCGGGTTAGAAAACAGACATTTGATCAACCGTCGAATCCAGTAGTTCTAAGCATAGGTAGGTGAAGACCCTCCCTTGCATTGTCCAAGATTGGTGAAGGATCCTTCACCAATCTGAAACTTTGGTGAAAGGTATCCTTCACCAAAGAGATACGTTGCTACACCTATGAAGTTGACCTTGTTTTTCTTTCAGATTACGTTAATTGAATCTTATCATGTGAACAAGTTGTTTGGCATCGTTTTAAGCCCCATCTCCACCATGGAATGGTTAGGTGTCAAAATCAGAACCACTTAGAACTTCGATCTCATTCAGGGTCTAACAGCACCAAACATTCATTGAATCAAAGCAACTGTGCGCCTAAGATCAAACATTTCGCCAAAGACCCCAGGCCTGATTGCAGCCCCCTCTCGCTCCCTCCCTGGCCCATGGCCATCTGGCGCCGGTTTAAAACTCAAAAGCTCAGCGGTCCAATGTGAAACTTGCCGGCCCATCTCGCCGGTCCATCTCGCCGGTCCAAAATGCAAGTCCAAACTAGTGATGTCAATTACGGAAAATCGGAATACCGATACCAAACCAAATATCAACCAAAACCGTGGAGAAGTACCGAAACCAAACCAACTTGGGAACATGAGGAAAATACCAACTTTTAACCGATTTCTTAGCCTCTTAAACATTAGCAAGGGTTCATGATACCAACAAAATACCAAACACATTAGGATTGAAATACCTACCAAATACCGAGTTGGTATCGGTTTGGTATCGGTATACCAAAAAGTTGGTATCCGATTGACATCTCTAGTCCAAACCGCTGGTCCGACCTAAGCCGCCTTAGTCCAAACCATTTCCACCTCGCCGGTCTATCTCGCAGGCCCAATCCGTCAGTCCCAGCCACTGGTCCACATCGCCGGTCCAAACCAACCCCGGTCCAAACCGCCCCGGTCCAAACCACCCCCGGTCCAAACCACCCCGATCCAACCACCCCGGTCCCAACCATTCCCATCTCGCCGGTCCATCTGTTCGGTCCAAACCGTTTCCGGCGGCCATTCGTCGCACCGGCGGTCCGTTTTGGCGACAGAAGTGGCCGCCGGTGCCGACTCGGAGAACCGGCACCGCTCGATGGTCTCCCTCGAGTGTGATGGACCGCTCTGTTTTCGTTCCCCGCGTGCCACGCACGCGTGCTATGCCGCCGACCGCAGAGGGAGAGAGAGAGAGAGAGAGAGAGAGAGAGAGAGAGAGAGAGAGAGAGAGAGAGAGAGAGAGAGAGAGAGAGAGAGAGAGAGAGAGAGAGAGAGAGAGAGAGGATTGAGGAAGGGAGAGGGGGAGATCGTGAGTTATACGCATAGTGGACAGCTCACGTCTATGATTGTTTTAAATAAATTTGTCCGAAACGGGCAGAACAAACAGATTACTACCCGCGAGTTGCTTGAGGACGGGGGACGGCGGTTGCTGGGGTATTTCGCCACCCACCGTTTGCTGGGGGGGGGGGGGGGCGTTAAACGCCCCCAGCCGATAACTCGAGAACCAATAGGCGCAGCGAAACGCACGAGGCGGCAAACGAACGAACGCGACGAGACGCTTCAGATGAGTACTTTAAAGTTGAATTTTGAGGTCACAGGTCGGGTCAAGGTCAGGTCAAACACCTGAAATCGGGCTTTCATTAGCATGGACTTCAGGACTTCGCAATGGACGCCTCTCGTCATAAACTCTGTCAAAACGGTGCACAATCCATCATATAAGGCCTACAAGAGTGTCAGCTCCATGTAGGGGTCAGTCAAGCATAGGTCAGTGTCAAGGTCAGGTCAACCGGGTAGGCACATATCCCCGAAAATCAAAACTGATATTCGCAGCCTGTGACACATGTTTTATGGGTAATTTGGGGCGTGGAACACGATGGTGACATTCATTTTATCATATGTGTACGTGTTTGGCTCAAAAAGTTCAATTTAAGAAATGCATGTATCATGGTCGTGAAGTAGTTACGAGAAATTGCCAAGATTCAGTTCAAGATTTTGGAAAATGCGGAGCGATAATCAATAATCGAAGATAGCCATTTGATTGTTCATGGTATTGGCAGTCTAATGGCGTTTACGGCATGTCTGTATGTCTATTCTGTGATTTTATATGATTTTTTGAACATATGCCGTTTTTGGTCGAAAACTCAGAAATCATGACGTCACTAAAACCTCGATATCTCAAAAATTTTCCGACCGATTTTTTTGAAGCTTTGTCACAATAAACTTCAATCAATTCCCTACAGGTACCTAAAATTTGGCGCGCCTGCGGCGCGCCGTTTTTATGCTACGGCGCGGCGAAAAAAGTGGGGGCGTTTAACGCCCCCCCCCCAGCAACTCGCGGGTTAAGCATCCCCACTTATCTCGCTGCGCTGTAGCTAAATTTGCGGGTAGTGCCTGTGGCGAATTGATTGAACTTTACAATGCCAAAGTATAAAAAATGAATCGGAAAATTTTTAAGATATCGAAGTTTGAGTGACCTCAGATTTCGGAGTTTTCGACCAGAAACAACATATTTGTCATCATAAAATCGCAGAACAGACGTACAGACAAGAGCTTAACGCCATTAAACTGCTAATTTCATGTACAATTTATTGGCTATCTCCGATTTGTTATCATTGTTCTACATTTTCCAAAATCTTGAACAGAATCTTGTTCATTGTTTATTGGACATGTTCTGTCACAGACAAATCCCATTGACGGCTGAGGTCTTGACATTTCTAGTGACTGATTCACGACCATGATGTTTACATTTCTTAAATTGTTCTTTTTCGACCAAGAGCGTACTCTTATAACCCGCGAGTTGCTGGGGGGGGGGGGCGTTAAACGCCCCCACTTATTTCGCCGGGCCATAGCATAAAAACGGCGCGCCGCAGGCGCGCCAAATTTTGGGGACCTGTAGTAAATTGATTGAAGTCTATTGTGACAAAATTTCAAAAAAAATCAGTCGGAAAAATTTTGAGATATCGAGGTTTTAGTGACGTCATGATTTCTGAGTTTTCGACCAAAAACGGCATATGTTCAAAAAATCATATAAAATCACAGAATAGACATACAGACATGCCGTAAACGGCATTAGACTGCCAATACCATGAACAATCAAATGGCTATCTTCGATTATTGATTATCGTTTCGCATTTGCCAAAATCTTGATCTGAATCTTGGCAATTTCTCGTGACTACTTCACGACCATGATACATACGTTTCTCAAGTTGAACTTTTTGAGCCAAACAGGTACACATATGATAAAATGAATGTCACCATCGTGTTCTACGCCCCAAATTACCCATACAACATGCGTCACAGGCTGCGAATATCAGTTTTGATTTTCGGGGATATGTGCCTACCCGGTTGACCTGACCTTGACCCTGACCTATGCTTGACTGACCCCTACATGGGGCTGACACTCTTTTAGGCCTTATATGATGGATTGTGCACCGTTTTGACAGAGTTTATGACGAGAGGCGCTCATTGCGAAGTCCTGAAGTCCATGCTACTGAAAGCCCGATTTCAGGTGTTTGACCTGACCTTGACCCGACCTGTGATCCTCAAAATTCAACTTCAAAGTACTCATCTGAAGCGTCTTGTCGCGTTCTTTCGTTTGCCGCCTCGTGCGTTTCGCTGCGCCTATTGGTTCTCGAGTTATCGGCTGGGGGCGTTTAACGCCCCCCCCCCCCCAGCAAACGGTGGGTGGCGAAATACCCCAGCAACTGCCGGGATAATAACGTCTGTCGGGGATATGTTCTTACCTGGTTGACCTGACCTTAGCCCTGAAGCCTGAACTATGCTAGACTGAACTCTACATGGATCTGCCGCTCGTGTAGCACTTACATGAAGGAGACACAGTCACAGTCTGGAGTCAGTTTATTTATGAGAGCCGCACAGTACGAGGTTCCCAGCCAGCAATCCCGCTCCGTTCCCATTCGGGATCTTCTTCGGCCCTGAAGTCCATACTACTGAAAGCCCATTTTCAGGTATTTGAGCTGACTTTGACCCGACCTGTGGCTTTGAAACTCAACTTTCAAGGACTCTCAAAAGCATCTCGTCGCGTTCCTTCGTTTGCCGCCTCGCGCGTTTCGCTGCGCCTATATGGTTTCCGAGTTATGGGGGCGTTTAACGCCCCCCCCCCCAGCAAATGGTGGATGGGTGACGAAATACCCCAGTAACTGCCAGGTAAAAAGGGCACGTTCAACCCCCCCCCCCCCCACGAGCAGGGCGTGGAAATCCACTGAATTTCACTGGCTCTTGAGGAGCCCCAGAGTGGCGCGGTATAATTCCTCTCAGGAACCATATGCTCATGTTAAATTTAGTCTTCAAGGCCATTCTCAGCTGCTAAGCCTTTTCTGGAATCCCGGGTTTCCCAAATAACGCCGCGACAGATTTATGGCTTGTAATCCTTTCTGACGCACCAGACTGATCCCAGGAGCGTTTACCTTACGCGGTTTGTCTCGCCATAAACAGGTTATGCAAATGAGGCCTGTGTAGACCCACGGCCGGTATAAAGAACAGGTTACGCCAGCCAGGAGACCAGTGCGGGATATTTCAGTACGGAGAGAGGCCGAGTAGTCAGAGATGTGGAGCCTGCAGTTTGCGCTGACCGTGGTAGCGTTCCTTCCATTCTGTCAGCTGGCCATCCTCAGAGGTGCCGGCGACTTCAAGCCAGGTGAGGTGAATCTTTTCACGATCTTTTTTGATAACGTTCTGCATGGTGATGGCTAATGTTTCGAGTAAGATGACATATCTGTTTCAAATAGTACGCTTGAGTGTACCGTAGAACTGTTGAGGTTTACACTTGTAGCGTGAATGTAAAACATGTTATGCGTTATGCATTTATAGGGACATGCTGCTACAGTTGGTTATAATTTTCCTCTGAGCACTCGGTTATCTGCATTCTACATATCAATTTTTCCATTCAGGGCATGAAGGAGAATGCTTCCTAGACAACATCAACATCTACATGAAGGTCAATGACTCAAAACCAATCATCGGCTGCCAGGAGGCTCACTGCTCTGAGGGCTCGGAGCCAGGAACTTACTTCTACGAAATGTATACGTGAGTACCTATATGTAATACAACGCCAGCTGTGCATCCCGAGTTCCATATTTGGCTAGCTAACAGAGTGCTATAGAGGAGATTCTGACCTCACACAGGTCACTGACGTCACTCGAACGTGCCAGGGGATTGGGTGACTGTGTTGATATAACTCGACGAGCGTTCAACAGCCCATAGGGTGGAGCTACTAGCCGTTATCACGACGGCCATCTGGTACACATTTGGTGCAGAGTAGGTGCAGATTTGGTCAAATTAGGTACATTCACCAGATAGCCCGTCGTGAAAACGGCTAATAGCCGTTTTCACGACGGGATATCCGACGAGTGTACCTAATTTGACCAAATCTGCACCTAATCTCTTTTACAGCAAATATCTTCATTTGATGAATTTATTTCAGTGTTTTAAACGATGATACTCTCTGATAATATGACTAAGCAGGCATATAAGCAATAAGTGCAACCCTAGCTGATAGCTACTAAGAGATACACTGAAGCTAATTTGACCAAATCTGCACCTAATCTGCACCAAATGTGCACCAAATGTGTACCAGATGGCCGTCGTGAAAACGGCTATTATCAACCACATATTGTTGTCGGTTGTAGAACATTTGTACAATAGTTATGCCTGTTATGCTAAATGTTGTCGAAGACAGGGGGAAAGCAAATATATGTAGAGGACCAGCGGGACGCCAAATTCTGCCGACAGCGTCGACAAAGTCATATACCCAGTGCCGTCCCCAACTGGATTCAGGTGCGGAGTGTGATACCAAAGGTCACATAATCAGTCCCGTCCCCCTGGTTTCAGGTGCGGAGTGTGATAACATGGGTCATATACTCAGCCCCGTCCCCCTGGTTTCAGGTGTGGAGTGAGATAACATGGGTCATATACTCTGCCCCGTCCCCCTGGTTTCAGGTGTGGAGTGTGATAACATGGGTCATATACTCTGCCCCGTCCCCCTGGTTTCAGGTGCGGAGTGTGATAACATGGGTCATATACTCAGCCCCGTCCCCCTGGTTTCAGGTGTGGCGTGAGATAACATGGGTCATATACTCAGCCCCGTCCCCCTGGTTTCAGGTGCGGAGTGTGATACCAAAGGTCACATAATCAGTCCCGTCCCCCTGGTTTCAGGTGCGGAGTGTGATAACATGGGTCATATACTCTGCCCCGTCCCCCTGGGTTCAGGTGCGGAGTGTGATAACATGGGTCGCATAGGTACTCAGCCCCGTCCCCCTGGTTTCAGGTGTGGAGTGATATCGCACGGCAGCCGTCTCGTTAAGAAGGTTCCTGGCGATCGGTTCGCCGTGTATCCCGACTGCTGCGACAAGTTCGTTCCGATCTAGTGATCCAGTGGCCGCAAATTGCCTGAAGGTTCTCCTGCTGTTCTAACAGGGTGTTATGCGTGCGGAGGTGATAAATGCTGGTATCAGTTTTAATGACATACGAATCATGTATGAACCGTCTCTATATGTATATATTTGTCTATACTTGGCTTCTTAGAGTCAAGTAGACACTAGCGACGAGTGGCTGTAATTGCCCAAAATACATGTAGTGAAAGTGATACTGTTCTACGCATGTAGGCAATCAGTTTATTTCTTCCAGAAGAAACTGCGGCAGCATTCCCAGTACCTCCCGAACGTTCCGGACAGAGCGTTAAGGAGGTCGTTTGCATGCAGTGGGGTGATACCAAAGCTTCCCGCACATAAAGTGTCCCTTTATATTTAGGGAACATAACTGGAAATGTGATATATGTAACACCAGTATAACGCCTTTTGGGGCGACTAACGGAGCGAGCGAGAGGGTGGGCCTTGCACGTGCGAAATTGCGAGGGGGTACCTCCAACTGACTTGTGCACGGCACCCTACTAACCGGTCTCTAGCGATGTGCCAAATTTGAGCACAATCGGCCCAGCCGTTCTCGAGATCTGGAAGCCGCACCCTGCACGTGGGCACGTGCAAAATGGGTCCCGACTGACTTTTGCACGGCACCCTACTAACCGGTCCCTAACTGTGTACCAAATTTGAGCGCAATCGGTCGAGCCGTTCTCGAGATCTGGAAACGAACCTTGCACGTGCGCACGTGCAGCAGCACCCCAACTCTGGCACATGGATATGCAGTGCCTGGTGGGTGCCTACCTATATGCCAACTTTCAGCGCAATGGGCCAAGTAGTTACCGAGACATTGCAACAATTACAAAACTGACACCTCTTCGTTTTGCACGTGGCACGTGCATAAGGGGTTACCCACATGCATCGCGAATAGTCCAATACTTGGTAGAAGGAATGAAGCTACCCTACAAAAATTACCGCATGTAAATCGGTCAAGTGGTTGCTGAGATATAAGCCTCGCAAAAGCGTCCGCAAGGCCGGCCGCTCATACTCAGAAATTTCCGTTAATCTAAGGAAAGACTCCGCTCGCTTCGCTCGCTCCGTAAACACTGTAACGCATAAATGCATACTTGGATGAACAGCATGTATACCGTAAAAAACTAAAAGTATGTAGCATCAATGTTTTCGATGTTCATCTTTTATCTATTAATAAGCAATTCATTTATCAGCCGATATGCAAAGATCCAAAGCAACAAAGTTTGGTTTTATTTTAAGGCTCGTTGTATGTAAGGCATTTGATGATATCGTTTTTTTTACTTTAATGACCTCCTTACAATGATAATGAAACTTTCATCTCAATTCGTTTATTTTTATATGAATTTTCGGCCACGGGCCATGATCACATATACATATAGTCAAAGTTTGCTTTTGACTATATGTATTTGTGATCATGGCTCGTGGCCGAAAATTCATATAAAAAATAAACGAATTGAGATGAAAGTTTCATTATCATTGTAAGGAGGTCATTAAAGTAAAACAAAAAACAAAAAAAAACATTAAGTTTGGTTTTGTCCGGTCACGAATTCCGGTCGCCAACATTCTGGTCGGACATAAAAATGGCCAAAAGCTACAAAAACAACTTTGGCCATCTGCCTACCACTTGTCTCCTCGTCTAACTCGTCTGACTCCACTAATATATATATTACTGACCGGGCCGACGAAATTATTTGGAAACGAGGTTTGCAAAATTGACGGAGGCCCGAGTGCGGAGCACGAGGGCCGGAGTCAAATTTTGCAAGCCGAGTTTCCAAATAATTTCGTACGGCTGAGGTCAGTAACAGGGGGCTGTCATCCCGAGCTTTCCTATGTGCCGGGCGCCCAACTGTTTAACATTACCCGTGACGTCACGGGGGCATACACTTGTCAGCTGGCCTTCCCCGCAAGTTTGGCCTTGAATACGATTTTGAGGGTCACGGTTGTAAACAAGTTCCTTTCCGGAAACGTTCCGGAAACACTGGAAACGTTGTCATCCTTCTATTTTCCGGAAATTGCTTCATTACTAATCTGCGCTTAAAGGAAACAGTCCACTTTCCTGAAATCAGTATTTTGCTATTGATTTATGATTTTTTATGCTCAAAATAATCATGAAATAAAATAAAACCTTTTTGTAAAAACAATTATTTTCTTTATTTTAATATAGGGCGAACTATATTCTATGTAAAATAATGTTTGACGCGGAAGCTTATTACGCATTGACCAATCATATTGCGTAGCTCAAACCTACGAATACTGCATTGGCTGTAAGCAGCACGCTGATTGGCTGACGATGACGTGGCTGCATTCCTGTGCAAGGCACGCATTCCTCTACAAGGCACTCTTTTCGGAACGAGAAATGGAATTTCTTCGTCTAGGGTGATCGTTGAGCCGTAAAAGCTCCTGATTTGTGCTAGTCTCAGCTCAAGCTACGAAACTGCTATTCCAGCTCAAAACCCCATGTTAAAAGTGAACTATTTCCTTTAAATCACTTTAACCCTCGCCGGCACAGGGGGTGCAACCCCACCCTTAAGGTTTTTCGCGAATAACTCGCGTAGAAAGCGGCCGATCGCGACGAAACTATTAGTACCCTCGCATTGATCAATTGTACACCTACCCTGAAAATCTCATGACCCTGACTCAAATGACCTTTGACCTGTGACCTACTTTCCGAGACCATGTTTGGCCGGAATCGCGATTCGGCGTATGTCGGCTCGCATTAGCCGCGCGTTTGCAAGCTTTTCTTGGTTTCAAACGTTCAAACATGTGATTTGATGTTGCTCCCATGCATTAGGGTGGATGTCAAGGTCACCTGAAGGTCAGGTCAGGTCATTGACCTTTGGTGACCTCGGTTCACTTTTTCGAGTTTTACATGTTTCTAGGCTAGTTTTTGGAGCTGAATTCGAATTTAGCAACCATTTGAACATTTACAAAGTAGTTTTGGTGACTTCGTAACATGTTACGAAGCTGTCAGAGGCGGTTGACACGTACTACGAATACCCGTCGCGACCTCTAGGTACCGGTTGACCTGACCTGACCTGACCCGACCTGGTCTTAATGCTTAGACATCATCTCTGATCAAAACTAACACGATATTCGTGATCAGCACCCCGGAGAACTCCATAGCAGCCACACTTTACGACTTTCTAACAGGTCCCGATTTTCCCGATTTTCGGGTCATTGACCTGACCTGGAAGGTCACCCAATGACCTAGGATCTTTAAATTGGATATCATCGGCTTCCTCTCGTGACGGGCAACACGCTCGTTTTTCCGCGAAGCTCTAGCTCAATCAGGGGCCAAACGCGAGGGGGTGTCGTACCAACCCCCCTGCCGTCGAATGACGCAAAATGGCCTGTGCCGGCGAGGGTTAAAGGCTACTTAACGCTTTCCTAATTGTAAAGTGTTGCATTGTCTGCATGGTGAGGAGAACGCTAACCGGTCAGAAGGGCGATGTGTTGTGAGGAGGGCGCCGACAGGTCAGGAGGGCGCTGTACGATGAACGGCGACGCTGACTGGTCGGGAGGGCGATGCATGGTGATGAGGGCGCTATGCGTTGCAAAAGGCGCAGGCTGGTCAGGAGGGCGCTGAACGCGAAGATGTCGCCGACAGGCGAGGAGGGCGCTGACAGGTCAGGAGGGCACTGCACTGTGATAAGGGCTGCGACAGGTCTGGAGAACGCTGTCCGTGAAGAGGGCGCCGGACAAGACAGCAGGGCGCTGTATGGTGGGGAGAGCGCCGACAGGTCAGGAGGGCGCCCATGGTGAGGAGGATGCTGTACGATGAGAAGGGCACTATACGAGTGAAGAGGGCGCTGACAGGTCAGGAGGGCACTGTATAAAGAGGAGGGCTCGGACAAGGTGAGGAAGGCGATGTACGGTCCGAGGAGGGCGCCGACAGATCAGGAGGGCCGTCTACGGTGGCGGCCTGGATGGCGTCTTTCCAGAGGGCGCTTGCTAGATTTGGGAGGGGCCCAGTGTGCCCCTCCCCCTTGGCTGCGCCCCTGAGTCCTTTGTCTAGCGATTTTCGAAGTATGTATCGCGTCCGTAGGGGCCTTGGGAGCTGCCGGTGACCACAGGGGCCTTATAAGGCCCCTGATGACTCGGGACCCGTAGGCTGTATACGGCCTACGGGTCCCGAGTCATGTGGGCCATATCACCACAGGGCACCGCATCTTTTTCGAGATTAATGACCGTTCTGAAGCGTGTCGCATTTTCCTGAGCATGATCTGGCGTTCACATAATATTAAGCGCCTGACGGCCCCTCTCATGTCTGCGGCTGGCATCTTACTGACAAGCCACCTGGCGATCGCCAACTCAACCCTAATTACGACGTTGTCCGCTAGGTGGCGGGGTCATACAATCCCAGACAGGACAAGGGATTCTCATAATTACTTTGCTATCATATTTTCCCCCTTTTTAAAGTCATTTAAAAGCGCTATTGCACAAGTATTTTTTCGATTAGCAGCGATTCCAGCCGCCGCATCAGGGTCCGGATGGAGCCAGGGAGCGTATGCCCCGGTGACGTCACCGTAGTGTTGCAGATTTGTAACATTAGCGAGCCCGGACGATCTTACCTAACTTATACGGCCTTGGTCAGTAAGATTTTTCCTACATGCCGCATACCTATTAAAACGTTTTGACAGGCTTTGGTGACACTTATACAATTGTTTTGTCCATAATTTCCTTACTATGATTGCGCTACTGCTGTGGATAAAGGAAATTTATAGAAGAAAATGCATCAAAATACCTTACTTCAAAAAGAATCGCGTCTGAAAATATCAACTCAGAATGGCACAACTGGATATCCAGGGAACATAATACATGAATAATTTGCCAAGACATAAGAACAAGAGGAAGGTATAATATACCTAGTAATTAAACGTGAATTTTCCAGTGCTCTTGCAAGAATCTTTTCTTTATTTATGTACCTAGTACTTTGTTGATGCCCTCAGCCCTATGCCTAAACTTTCGTGAAATACATTATATTTTCCATATTTTACGTGTTTGTTTCGAGGAAAGGACTACAACTGTCAAATAATAACGCAATAACTTAGGCCAAGGGTATCAGTGGACATATCAAACGAAGGTAAGACAACAAGCGATAACGGATTTCGATTAATAGGCGCATATCTTACCATAATTTCGGCTTTGTAACCAATACAAAATATTTCAAAATCCTTGATAAGCAGAGCAGATATTT